AGATGTGGAATGGAGCTATGGGAAAATCTGATGTGCTGGTAATTGACAAAGACTGAGTCCAAGCTAGCACCAAACCAATGGGGAGATTGAAGGGTCCAGTTAATGGTTTGGTCTAGGCTTTCATTGTAATAGTTCATTAATGAGTCTTTAGTGTGTTTTTGGTGTTGTTTAGCTGTTTACGGCCCAAGAGTGAGTTTACGGCCGTAAACCTGTTTACAGCCGTAAACCCAGTTTGCGGCCCAAGTCAAGTATAAATAGAGGAGTTGTAGGTCTTTGTCTAGTTGTTGATGTCATAGTGTTCACGGTTCATTCTGTCGAGTTGTACCAGACGTTTTATGCAATAAACGTGTGCAAGCTTGATTTCTTTTCTTCTTTTACTTCTATTGTGATTGCTATTGATTGTTTGTTGCTTGATCATTGGTAAAGATCCGTTTCAGGACCTTACATTTTATGTAGCTTCATAAAATGCAGTATACCTTTTTTGGGATTTCGATTGAACACTTGCTGCACAACACCAAAAAAACTCCACCTAGATGCGGAAATCAACCATAGATGGACTCCATTTTCGATCGACACCTAAAAATAGTAAAAGAAGATCGAAAAAGCTTTTTGTTACCATTTGAAGACCAAAAATGTCCCCAAACTTGACTATATCTTTAGGTTGAGAAACCCTTGAAAAAATCCAATTTGGATCATCACTCTATTAACATTTCAATTCTTCAATCATTGCTCAAGAAATCACAGTCAATGATTTTTGAAGAAAATTTAATCTATCCTCTTTTGAGAATCTTTGATTCCAATTTGTTACGATAATGGAAGCCAAATTCAATAACTGATGAAAAAATTAAGAAGAAAACTAGCACCAAGATATGAATCTTTATTTTGAATTTTTTATTCACTTGTTGTAATGCTTGTGGAAATAGTACATCAACAAGAAAAAAACAAGAGTTCTAAATTAAATTTGGTAAAATCGAAGTAGAGATCGTAATCTAACCAAACCTCCTGTGTGTCTATATGTGGGTCAATTTAAGATCTTTACCCTATTGACAAAAAGGTCCCTGGACTTCTTTTTTAATGTCACAATTTCTACCGTAGCAATTATTATTTGAAATTATCAAGCTGTTAACTTATTATAAATTTGGGGTGTTACATGTGATTACGTAATCAAAGTGAGCAACTGATATCAGGCTATGATAAGTGATTGAAAGCGAGTTCAAACACATTGTGAGAATATATGCTTATATAATCTTATTGTCGGGGAGTTATTGTTTTTAATCTAGTTGATTAAGATGATCGTTGATATCTTGATGTCTATATATTAAGTGTTTGATGTATGCATCTAATAACGTTTTAATTAGTTGTAATCAAGTTTGAGAAGATCATGTGTTACACTAATTTCAAATTTGTTTACATTTCACTACTATAAGATCCGGGGTTTTTTTTAAGATTTTTATATATTTATAATACATCACATGTTCCTAAAATAACAAAACAATTGATTAGCATTGGATGTGTTGTAAATACTCATGAGTGCTCATCAAAATTGCTCGTGTTTTAACCGACAGGAATAGAAAAATAAAAGAAGCCAAACAATATCAACGGGAAAACAAAAACTATCATTCATTTTATTGTGACAACTGCTCAAGGCACCATTGTTACAAAAGCTTTCATTTTAAAAGAGCAATTAATCAACATAATCATAATTAATACACAAAACAATCGTTATATAGTAACATGGTATAGAGAAAAAAAATACAAAGTGATAAACGATTATTTGTGTAGTGGTTCTTCAGCTGGTAGTGAAGCAAGAAACTTCTTGAGACATCGACTATAGACACATGGTCGTTCTATATGAACAAGATGGCCAGCCTTTGGTATCCCTTCAACTGTTGTATTCTCTCCTAATTCCCTGTTAATTAAACAATCACAAAACTAAATTAATTACGTTTCACTATAAGACCTAACAAACCAAAATAAGTGGATCTTTGATCCTATCATCAGTTAATGTTACCATTTCATGTTTTGAGCAAGCTCCATCTTAAATATTTGATCATTCTCGCCCCATAGAAGATGTATTCTCTATAAAATTAGCACAAATAAATAATTAGTTGATAGTTTAAAGTATATATAAAAGATATATAGTCGTTCTTACGGGATATATATGCTCTCATACCTGTGGAAAATACGGAATGGTAATATCCTTGTTGCTAACTATCAATCCCTCTAGTAGCTCACCTCTTTCTTTTCTGTTGTTAAACATAACCTGTAAAACATACACCAAGAGCTTAATTTTTTTTAAAAGTAAACCGTACAATCTAAGCAATGCACATAACATGTCTCAAAGCACATCTGAGATGTTAATTGATTGCACAACACTAATAATATTTAATATTTTATGTATTTGAACCCTAGACCTCCTGTGTTGAATTTCACTCACAAACCATTAGGTTTCTACAGCATAGTAGATATTTTATGATTTGTCATGGAAATATTTTAAATTCATTTTTCAAACTTATGATTTCCAATTAATTATAACTATGTATATTAATGGCTTGTGTAAATTTCCATCTTGTCAACTCATTTATGTGTAGTAAAATATGTTGTACGGGCATATAATTGAAGTTTGATGTTAACGAGGGACTTATTGTAACAACTCATTTATGTGTAGTAAAATATGTTGTACGGGCATATAATTGAAGTTTGATGTTAACGAGGGACTTATTGTAACAAGAAAGAATAGTTAAAGGGTAAAAATGGTAAAACCAAACCTCGAGGTAATCTTTATGGAGGCGGTCAGGGAACCATAGCTTCTTATGTGTCGCAACAGATAAAAGCGCCTTCAAACCCTTCACCGAATCCGGCAACAGAAGCTCCGACGACGATGAAAAACCTAACTCTTTCAATGTCAACTCACTTATTGAATCCGTCATAGAAAGTATCGACCCTGAAATCACCATAGCTCGAATCATCTCCGGGTACAATTCAGCCATCTTAAACGCCACCATCCCACCATAACTAAAACCCACCACCACACACCGCTCAACTCCCAGCTTTCTCAACCCTTTGACCAAACACTCCGCCTGAAACGTCGGAGACCGATCGGGGCTATCAGAGATTGATCCTCCGAAGAAGAGAAGATCCGGCACGTATACAGAGTACTCCTTTGAGAGCGAGCCAATTTGAAACTGCCATGTGGCTATGCCCTCTGCAGCAAAACCATGGACTAAGACGACCACCGGCTTCTCCGGTTTGGGGTTGATTGTGGTGACGACGGTGGTTTTTGATTTTTTGTTGGGCTTTTGAATGGTTTCATTTGGTACCCAGAAGTTCATGATGGTTCCAGGCTCAATTTCGATGGCGTGGGTCTGGACTCCGGCCATTTTCATCAACATGATAATCAGTGGCTCCTGTATGGCTACTAAGTTCACCATTTTTGGCGCTCGGATTTCAGACAGGAGTAAAGAGGAGAGGTGAATGGAGTGAAAGTGGGAGGAGGGTGCTAGGCATATTAAGTACAAGAGGGAAGGTAGAGTTGGTGTTGGCAAGTCATCTGTTTCAAACTTTCCAATTCAAATTCTTTTCCATATATATATATATATAT